AGTTCCAAAGTAACGATTTTTAAAATTCCGTTTTTGTGGTTCGCGCTATTTTCTGAAAAACATTCAATTGGAATTTTGAATGTTGTTTCGATGATAAGGGATCTGAAAAAAAATTTTAGCGCTCCGGTTCACTTCCAGGGATGAGGCCACAACAAAATTGGTAAATCGGCTATATTAGAAATTCTCTTCGAGTTTAAAAATAATTGTGAAATGACACCATTTTTTAATCAATAGTGACACAAAAACAAATCTATAACTAAATCTTGTTAAAGGTACATTCAACTTGAATAACTGGAACTGACAAAAAATTTATCACTCGTTACAAAATTCATTAAGAATGTAATGTTTGTTCGATTGATGACCTTTTAATTTCGTAGAAATTCATATTGAACTGGTCGTACCAAATTATATACTTATTAGAAATTAGACAAAAATTATTTTCTTTATTCAATATTCAAGAATGTAATGTTTTTTCTGTTCTGTTCTTTTGGTTAAAATAGTTTTCGACCAGATGAGTTATACTGCTCAAGAGCTTGAGAAGTGGCTATTATAATGTAATCTTCTAGAAAATTATGTGATGTCATATCGACTCTCGTAAATCATGCCCTAAAAAAATTACGTCGGGTGCCACTGATACTTTTAGTTGAAGTGTTTGTTGTATTCAAAGTGAAATAAAGTTAGGTTTGATTGGTCAACCCTCGGGGAAAACGTAACACTACTAATACTTCTTGCCGACTACAAATTTGCGGAAAAACCTTGCAGAGGGTCTATTTTTTATGTTTCACAACGTAAACGTACTGTTAAATCATAATAATCTGAGTTATAATACGGATGGATGAATTCTGAATAGTTTTCCAGATTGGGTGTTAACTTTTGTTTCATTCAAAGTTAGGCAAAATATTCAAAATTTGGCATCGTAACTCAAATTTGATGTTTCACGGTATTGCAAACAAACTCTATTGAAGTATTCAGAACATCATTTAAAAAAACGAATAATTTGGTGGAATAGGTTTTCTAGAAATATTTCAAATGGGTGAATAAAGAACCGTCATTTACGATCGACATATTTCACTAGTTTATTTTTACCAAAATGGTTTCCTAAAATAGTCAACAGTTTCAAATTTTCAGTGGCAATATCTCCGAAAGTGAACTGGTGTGCCCAGTTTTAACTTCAACTTTGCAATAGATTAAATATACTGCCCAATCAGAAATTTAAAAAGATGAGCCCTGAGAAATGAATATTCTCCAAAACTTATACTTAGATTGGGTTAGGTCTAAAGTGGATGGGTCTATTTGACCCTCCACCGCAACCCCGCATGAATTTATTATGGCTCATACCTATTCACACTCGACCAAATAATCCCAGCTGCTTAACGAAGCCAATTAGTTTGTATAGTGAGTGGTCTTTCAGGTCAGATGGTAAGAGTACGGCTCTGTGGAACTCTGAAAACCTTATTTGGTTTTCAGTGGGGCGGGCACGAAGTATGTGCTCTGCTGTTTCATCATTTTCCAAACAAAGGCGACACACACTGTTTTCTGACAGTCAGAGTCTCTGCATCTGATGATTCAAATGACAGTGACCTGTAAAAAGATCTGTTAGACATCGTAAACTACCAGTCGTCGCCACTCTACCGTTCATTGCCACTTCGTCAGAAAAACTTAAAAATTAAGGAAACATTTCAAAATAGTATATTATTTGCTGCAATTATTAGTAACCAATAGTATTTGGCAACTATGTACCATTGCACAAGCTTCTCCTTCACGCCATGCACTTTTGTTGTAAACCACAAGTTATCGGACAGTGTAAAATTCCGATATGTTTTCTCGCATATTTTTGATTTTTTGCTACAAATTTATAGCAACCAAATTTTTTTTACTTGAATATTGTTGTATTTTAATTATTTTAAGGTTATGTTTTCCTTAAAAAACAAGCTTGGCAATAACTGGTATCACAAAATATTATAACAACCACTTATTGCCATTAGTGGCCATCACTGGTTTTGCATATTTTTTACTACCTATATTTTAGGAATAATGCATTTAAGATTGCAATGTTGCCACTATTTATTTTATTGCCTACATATTACTCTAACCAGTTATTGCCACTGGTGGCCATCATTGGTTTTCAAGTGGCAACAATTGGTCATATTTAGCAAACAATTTTTTAAATTCCAGAAATGGCGCCTAAACGGGACTATACGACAGAACAAATGTCCAAAGCACTAGCCGACGTTAAAAAGGGTATTCCTGCAGCTGTTGCAGCCAAAAACCATGGGGTACCTTGAGACATAAAACAGATGGAAAGTCGCCACTGGTTTGTCCCATGGGATCTTCAACAATCCTTACGAAAGAAGAGGAGTTCACTCTTGTAGACTGGATCATAAAGTTGTCTAAAAGGCATTTTCCTGTATCGAAGGAGCAACTTTTAGATACCGTTCAAAAAATCACAAATTCTACAACAAGGGCTAAAACATTCATGAAGAACCGCCCCAGTGACAAATGTTTTCGCCTTTTTTCAAATAGACATCCCGAAATCTCCCAAAGAGTATCACAAAATTCAACTCCAAGTCGAGAGAGTGTGACTGAAAATCAAATTCGAAATTGGTTTACTGAGATTAAAGAATACCTAGAGTCGAAACATTTGTTTGATTATATTTTCAACGCTGATGAAAACGCGTTCTATTTATCCCCGAAAGAGGGTAAGGTTTTGGCCACAAAAGGGAATAAAAATGTTTACCGTTCTGCTGGAGACGAGAAAGAAAACGTAACGGTATTGCTTACAGCCAATGGTGCTGGAAAAATTGCTCCGCCAATGATTGTTTTGGCATATGAAAGAATTCTAGAGGCTATATCTCAAAGTGTTCCAACAGGTTGGGGCTTAGGAAATTCAGAAAGTGGTTGGATGTGTTGGAGTGGTTTTTACGAATACATGACTAATATATTTTCTCCATGGCGAATAAAAGAAAACAATGAAAAACCTGTGATGTTTATTGTGGATGGGCACGTTTCTCATCTAACCATGCATGTGTCTAACTTTTGTGCCCAAAATGGAATTGAATTGATAGCCTTATATCCAAATTCCATGCATTTACTCCAGCCAATGGATGTATCTGTTTCAGGCCCTTAAAACTGGCATTCAGAAATGAAGTACAGAAGTGGCGTATGGATAACTATGGCAATAAACTTCAGAAGTATAATTTTGATATGGTGTTTGAGAAGGATTTGTCTCATATTACTGAAGAAACTATTCAAAATGGGTTCAAGGCTTCCGGGTTACATCCGTTTAATGTTAAAAATGTCCACTTCAAAAAAATTTGTGCTAAAAACAATACAGATAAAATTGATTCAGAGTCTTCTGTCACATCTAGTGTTACAATAAAACAGGCTGTGCTTGCATTGAAGTACTTCGAGAACAGGGTGGGTAAGGAAAGAATAAATATGTTCGAGATTTCTCTAAATGAAAACGAAAATGATAATTGGAACGGCCCGGTTGAGGATAAGTCCCTTTTCACCATATGGAAAGAATGGAAACTGGATGTCCAAGCAAATTCGGATACAACCATTGGCGAAGATATTCAGAGAAGTGACAAAGATGGTGAAAATATGGTACAGTCGTCCCCCGTTCACAGAACACCATTAAAGCATGGTCAGTCAACGTCACTTGGAAATAGCATTATAAGCTAACACCAGTAAATGATCCCCAACCGAGTACATCTGGTACTTATGTCATTAACAACAAAGTCACACCTTCTCCAAGTGGTCAGTCTAGTCAATTCGATAGTAAATTTATAAAGTTCCTACGCCTTTCAAAAAGGCGTTGTTTTGGCCGGCACCGAAACCTCAGACAAAAAAGAGGAAACTTAAAGAAAACATTCCATCTGTGGTAACCTTTGAAGCTTGGAGACAATATTATCAAAAGAAAGAAAATGAAAAGAAAAAGAAAATAGAAGAAAAATAACAAAGAAAGATTGCAAGACAACAAAAACTTTTATTGAAAAAAAATCCTAAAAATGATTTTTATGAAGATGATGAAGAGAGTGAAGAAGACTGGGTGGAAAGTAGAGGCAGCTTAGATGATGTAGACTCATTTGAAGATCATAAAAAAACAATTTACCGAGATAACTCATGGCGAAGTTAATGTGGGAGCACATGTGCTTGTGAAATTTCTGGGTGGTAAACGAAGATCTGTGTCCTACAGATATATGTGTATTGTGCAGGATATTGCGGACGATAATGACATTAAAGTTATGTGTATGAGATCTACAAGTTTGGACAAAAATGTGTTTATGACTGATGAAAAAGAATTCGTTATCAGTTTCCTTGTGAGAGTTCCTTTTTCAGTTCCTTTTATTATTTATGTTATTATTTTCATGGCTTATTTGTCTTCTATAAACATCTTCTATAAAGGATTATTGATAAAAATGTTTTATCAGTAAGTAAAATGTAGCTGCTAATTCATGCTTGATTGATGGCAACCATTGGTTTTGTTAAAAAATTAGTGGCAATGATTGGTATTTTCGGATACTATGTATTTTGCCTTTAAACTTCTTATAGTGGCAATGACTGGTAGGTAACTAGTTCATTCCAACTGTAGTCCAACAACTGTTTGGTAACAAGCTTCGAAGGGTGAATAAACGCCTTGGGGTGAGCCAATCCTGGAAGATTCATAAAGTCCATAAATCTTCTTACCATCCAGGTGCTCAGTCTTTGTTTGGCAAAGCCTAAAGCGATGCCAATGACAGGTTCTGGTCCGATGAAGCTGCTTGCAGCACCCTCCTTTGCAAGGGAGTCAGCAGCCTCACTGACTTTCAGGCCAGTATGGCCAGGAATCCAGAGCAGAGACAATCTGTTAGGTCTTTCTATCAAAGAAAGTCTCTTTTTGCCAATTTGCTACCAATTTAGACGTTGCTCGATAGGAGCCAAGAGCTTTCAACGCCGCATGACTGTCCGCATGACTGTCCGCCGCATGACTCAAGACTTATACTTAGTGACAAACTTACGGCTGAAAACAATCCAATAAACCACGATACCGATGAATGCCCTGAAGGAAACGACTTCGATGAATCCACCAGGAAGTAATTATTGTACTTTGTATTGGTGCAGGTGTAAGACTCAATAAAAGTGCCCACAACGCAGTCCTTCGCCGTGTCCGGCTGGCACACGTCGAAAAAGTGGGGTCTATGCTCCCCTACTAACACTTTCGCGATTTGCGTGATGGTCAGGACGAAGACACACCCGATTGCGCACTCTCTGTAAAAGTACCACACTTTGCAGTAATCAATTCTACTGAACGTCCTGTTCGATAACACTTCTGTGAGGAGCAGTGTTATGATGGGGATCAGCAGAGATCCTATGCCTAGGACCAATGGGGAGATGACTTCACCTCTGAACTTGTGGGAGATGTAAGGATCCTCGCAGATGAACCCCAGTTTAGAGCCGGGAATGTAACCATACTCCGCCAGTACCAGCAGGGATAGAACTGAAATGAAAAAAATATATTATTACGTCTGAGGATGATTTTGACTAACGTGAATTTGAAGCCCGAAAAATTCAAGCAAAACTTACACACAAAAAACCTGTTGACTCGCATATGGAGGGGTACCTGCGTTGAGAAAAAAATTGGGTTAAAATTCAGGTTGACATTGAGTGTTTTTGTGCACCGAGAATGTTGCTAGACAATATTTTTAAACCAGTATTGATCGAAGTGACGTAATCGATTACAAGCGATATACGGAATTGTCAAAGAAAAGCTCAATAATTAATGAATTTCATTGGTTCGGAATTCCATTGTCTAATATTATACAAAATGATTCTAAATCCCTGGAAGAACCTATACAAATTAAAAATTAAAAAGAATAGCTCAAAATTAGATGAAAAGCTAAAAAAACCTTAATTGAAATTACAGTGAATGAAATAAAATACAAGCAAAAAATACAACAATTGAACAAAAAATTAAAATAAAAAATTAAGAGATTTCAAGCCAAGTTACTTCACGACGTTTCGATTGTTAGTATCCACAATCGTCTTCGGGTGATGACTGGACTAATTTCCCTTCACGCTCAACCGGTTTTGCTTAGTATAATTGTTATTTCGAGATATTCTTTTTAATTTTTCATTTTTACTGGTTCTTTCAGGAATTTCAAATCAATTTATATAATATTAGACAATGGAAGATCGAACTAATGAAATTCATCACGAGACATTGTCAATCACCTTCAAACAATCATTAATTGATATTGTTGAAAATATCCAACATAGAACTAAACTTGTGATGCACTGTTTGGAACCTTTTTCCCAACACCAAACCGTTATTTCAACACCTCGACACGTGTTTGGATCACCAAGTGATTATCTTCAAGAGAACTAAACTGTTTATCAGAAGAGCAACAACATGCTTTTTCAATTCTGACAAGTAACTAGATGAATCAATAATTGGAAGTACACTGGTATCACTCTCATTACGGAGAATATGTTTGTGCTATCTGATGTGATTGGAATTTCAAGTGGAAGTTTTATTACGGTATTATATCTCCTAGCACCCTCAGTGTGAGTCGAAAGTATGGAAACAATGGAATCTTATTTGATTTGCTGAATACAACAGGAAAACATGGTATCTCCCCTCACGTTGACGTAGACGTCATCTATTGGATCGACAGAATACTCATTTCATGCATATCAATGAAGTTCCAGGCGCCTGAATGCCTGTTCAATAGGTATAGCTGAGGTACGAAGGTTCAATACAGCAGTACCCTTGAAACCTATTACCTTGCAGTGACAAATATAGAACTAATTTCGTTTTGCGGTCATTTCAAGAGATCACATTTGGAAACCTCATTTATCTTCAATATTGAATTTTCTATCGATCCCATAGATGGTGTAATCGTAATGGGAAATTACTGTTTTTTTACTCAGGCTTGTTCTGTAAGGTTGAAACACCGATGTCTGTTGGATCACGAATGCTTTGTTCAGGGCTCTGTTTGACTGAATATAATCTGAATATTAAATATTTGTTCACAAAATAGATTTCGCAAAATGACGCTATCAATTGTTGAATAAAGATTGTGGACAGTATTCAATAAATGAGAAGAAAACTCAGAACAGAGTTCTGTACTGAGTACTGAGAGTACTTTCTTCTGCAAATTATTGAGAAAGTATGGTTTCCTCATATCAATGTTTGATATTCTTCAAGTTCATTTTTAAGGAAAGAGTAATATATATAAAAAAAACATCTAGTTTTCACTACATTCTAGAAGATATAAACATGTATCAATTTCCCAACCAATAAACTTAAACTTAGAGTGAACTTACACCAAAATTGAATATGTTATTAAGAAAATCATTCTCTCTGAAAATATATCATGAAAATACGAAAGAACAGTTGTTTTATGACAAAACTAGTTTATTGAATGTTGGTTGTTTTTAATAGTTTTAACTTGAAGTGATCAAAAAACTTTACATTTTTCAATTGAAATTGAAACATTAGCATGAAAACCAAGAGAAATATAGAGAAATAATTATTGGTGTCTATTTTTTCGTCGAAATTTCCCTTATTTTTCGTATTTTGAAGCATCGATAAATACACATTGAAGTGTGATAGTTTTCAATAGTTTTTAATTTGTCCCAAAAAAGGCAACATTTTGCAAAATTACGAATGGTATTTTCAACTTAAATTAATTTTTCATTTCAAAATGAAGCATTATAATCCTGTGAAATTTTTAATTATAAGTGCATCAATGAAGTGAATTTTGAATTGGGGTGATAATTAGGAGGTAGATTTTACATTTTTGTCGATAAAAAGAAATGAGGATCAAACTTATTTTCATCATGACTCGCTTAGTTTCGATCCTAGTAACTTTTAGAAAAACAAAATAAAACTTTCCAAGCATTATGAAAAAATTCATGAGTTGACTCCAAAAAATGCAATATTTTTGGTTACTTCACGATGAAATATTCAATTTTCACCGATAATGAGTTTTTCGATAAAACACTTCGTGATATTTACGATGCAGAAAAACTCAAAGTCATCTCCATGATTTAATATCACCCTCAGATGTTTGAACGGTAAAACCATCAATCTAACAACTGAGGGTGATATCAAATTGTGGAGACGACTTTAACTTTTTCTGCATCGTAAATCTACTACACTTCACTTCGAGATATAATGGACTTCTACCACAAGTTACCTCGTGAGGTATTCGCCAAAAACCGTCTGAAATGGGCCCATTGATTAAAAAAGGTATTTTTTATCTGTCATTTCCAGATGAACAGATTCCTAACTTCACAGTTTCAACTATTTTCAATCGTAAGTAAACTTTGGGAATTTTCTACTTCAAAATATTATGTTCTCAAATGTCAAACCTAATCATTGACCTGACAGTTCGATTTGAAATATATAGTTTCTAATGAAGAACAAGAATAAAAGAATGAACTGGGAAAGTGAAAACGAGTGAATCTTATTAAAAATTTGTAATGTGGCGAAAAAATTGATATTTTTCAAAACTTTGTCACTTAATAACAAAATGAAAGTTAACTGAAACTCAAGTACCTTACTTTGGGAATTTTCTACTTCAAAATATTATGTTCTCAAATGTCAAACCTAATCATTGACCTGACAGTTCGATTTAAAATATATAGTTTCTAATGAAGAACAAGAATAAAAGAATGAACTGGAAAAGTGAAAACGAGTGAATCTTATTAAAAATTTGTAATGTGGCGAAAAAATTGATATTTTTCAAAACTTAATAACAAAATGAAAGTGAACTGAAACTCAAGTACCTCTATTTCACAATAACTTAAAAGCAGCTTTCGGGCTTAGTGGTTAGGGGTTAGTGGTTGAAATCATTCAAAATAAATAATATATTAAGTGCAATTCATGCACCTCCCAATGGTTGCGCGCACATATTTTAAACAATTGAGTCGTGACCGCTACGAAAACCACTAGTAACAATTATCATCAACAGTAAATAACTAATAATTGACGCTATTCCACTCCTACGTCACTGGCTTTTCAAGGATAATAGTCACATCGATTTATAACACCGACAAAGCTACCTACAGTCGTAATATCTACTTTGATACAAACAAATCGATAACAAAGTTCACAAAGAGTGCTGAGGATAACAACGAACAAATGAACACTCACCGAAAACTAAAAGGAGGGCATTCAAACCGTACGGCACGGTAATCCACCGTTTGAACTTTATCTTGGTAGGTTGAGAGCTGTGGTCTTTCTCCACAACTGATGATATGTTGACACGCACTGTTGGAGATGTTACGTCAGATGGCGCTGGTGACACCATTCCTTTGTTTTCCTGAAACAATTTAAAACGGTTATTATGGATTTTATTCTGATTTTCGAAGGATATTGTGCGGCGGTGAGTGTATTGATGATTAATAGATTTCAGTTGAAATTATTGAGTTTCTGATAAATTTTTACCGAGTCTGATTATTTTGCAGGTCTGTAGGTTAGTTTTCAAATGGAAACCTGTCGGTAGAAAATACTCATTATACGAGTATATAATGCAAAGACAATGTTTATGTATTACATATTCGAGTAATATCATAAGAAATTCGAAAAGGCTGTGAAATGTTTACTTCTAGATAAAGTTCACCACCCATGAAAGTAATTTTATAAATAAAATATGTAAATATTGAAAATTTAGGTGTTGTTGATCTATAACTGATTCACTTTTATATTTCTATTCATGTTTTAATGCTTGATTGTATTTCTGTGAGTGTAATCATTATTTTTGTTTGTATTGAAAGTGTATATTGAAATTACCCTTCCGGATCACGACGCAATTTCAAGTTTAGTCGAAGTATAACTTGTATTGTGAATAGTTGAAGATATTGGCATCTCAAAGGCCACCATTAATATGGAAGTGTCCAATCTCCATATAGTCTTTTTCAACTAAAATTACTTTTTTAATCCTTTTCTGCCAGTCTTCTTCGGTAATATTAGATACTTCTTCTTTAACTAGCTCTATTACCTTTGTAAAAAAATTTGGAAAATTATTTTTACGCCTGATGCTTTGTTTCAATTTTTCCCAAATCAATTCGATGGGATTGAAAACACAAAAATAGGGGGGAAGTCTCAATATGGTGTGACCATGCTTTTCAGCAATACTCTCAAGGGCATACACTTTTTCAAATGTTTTTGTCTGTACAACTTGAAGTAGTTGGTTTTGGGTATAGTAATCTTCAAAATACAGATTCTTATCCATAAAAAAACTTTGTATTTCATCTTTTTTCGAATTTTCATTCGGTACTTTGATGAGCTGTCGCGAATGATAGAAAGCGATGTCAAGAGCTATCATATTATTCCCGTCCAAATTTGAGATCACTGTGTTTTCAAACCATTCTTCAAAAATATTAGCTTTCATGTTTTTATGATAATCAACATTGCAGTCCTCATGTTTTTTTCACCTAATTTCAAAGAATTCGGAACCCATCCTTTACTTCCTATGCAATGCACAATGATTAGTCGCAATCCTTTGTTTGCAGGCATGTTAGGCATACACATTCTCGAACCATCAGGCCACTCTTACGTAACTGTTTCGTGAGTGTCATACCACGTTTCGTCCAAATAGAAAATTTGCCGTTGTTCTTGTCTATATTTAGTTATTTGTTCCACCATTATGAAATGAGCGATGATGGTTTGTCTTTGTTTGAATCCTACCTTGAGGATCGCAAAAAATATTTGAAGACTTGCAAACAATAACTGTAGATCTGCTATTCAATTTCTAGTGCACTGGCTGTAAGTACCTCAAAATTTTATTGTAGGGCCACTACTATTTGCGATGTCTATGTCAATAATCTCACCAGTATAACATCAGAAATCAAATGGTATATTTTTAGATCATCTGCATACATTAGAAAATTGGCGAAAAGAAAACTCACTATATAAATAATCAATGTGATCCAGGTTGATGACTACAACACAAGCACTGCTTAGGTAGCTCAGCCTAGACTCGCCATTTCTGGTTTTAGTTACTTTTCTTTTTTTTTTCTTCTAGTTTCTCAACTTATCTAGTTTTGATTTTGAATACATATTGTAGATTATGCTTACCTGAATAAACAATTTACTTTATTCAATATTAATTATGTTTTTGACATCAAAGAACAGGATATCAAATATAATGGATTTGAAAGTTTCTGCTATGATTGACAATTTTGAAATTGGTCCATGGTTTTTGACAAGTTGTTTGTTGTCAGATATTAAGATTGGGATTATATGAGCCTTATTCCATACAGAAGAAAATACGCCCTCTTCAAGGGATTTATTAAAGATGATTTGAAGAGGTAATGCAATATATTTAGCACAGTTTTGGAGGATTGATGAATATTGTTGGTAGCTCATCGAGTCCCGCTCTCGATTGTAAAGGAATGTTGTAGAAAGAAATGTTGAAAGATGATTCTTGATGTGTTGCGTTATGAGCTGGAATAATTCTTCTCGGATTGAAAACGGGGAAAAATATTTTGAAAGTGTTTCGCAAATTTCATTAGGGCTTGTAATTATCCGATATTAATTGAGGTATTACTGTTTTTTTTATTTCACGAATTGCCAAAGATGTTTGGGTTGGAGGTAATAGTGGTTTCACAATCATTTCAATCTTCTCAATTAAAAATTTTGAACGACCACGCAGTATTTTGAATGTCAGTCAAATAGTCAATTTGATAATTGTGCTTTTTCCATAATCCGTGAAATTTTTTCTCTTATCTGACTTTAATAATTGTACTATATGAATACTATGAAGGGTACCGCTTGTGAAAATATGGTTTTCTTGGAACAACAGATTCGATTATTGAGTAGAATGTTTAATATAGCATATCAGTTGATTCTTCACTATTCAGGTTATGCAACAAATTATTCCAATCGATTTTGGATAATTCTGATTTCAGTCAACTTTACAAAAATTGTACAGGTTATGTTTGTTGTTATTATAGGTTGATAAGTATTTATGGATTTTGACAGAGAAGTCTAAAGAATTATGATTTATGTCTGAACTCACGTGCACATTTTGTATACTGTATGTGTTATTTAGCATCAGATCAATTGATATATTTTATGTTTTTCATATTTTCAACTAACACCATGTATAAATAAGAGTTGACCTAGACTGTGTTTCTTACATACGTCGAAGTGTTTATTTTTCAATTCATTGATAAGATATCGTATTCATATCAGTTGCGATATATAACATGAAAATGAATCAATATTTGAAAAGACAGTAGAAACCCAACTTTTTGAAATAGGTATTTTGAATTATTTCTTCAGAAACGTTAAATATCATTACCAATTACTTTTTTATCAGTTTTCTGATATTCTCGCAAAGTTAGTCCCTTACATTTTTCTGGCCAATTTATGTTTTGTTTTTCATAGAGAAATTAATTTTCATGAATCTCAAGTATTTGATGGGTATACCAAATATTTAAACAAACCCAAACATTATATAGAATGAATATGAAAATTAATGGAAAAATACGCTATAGGATTTTTTTGGCATTTTCTCTAGTTGACTTTATAAGTTCCTGATGAGAAATTTGTTCACGTGAAAATATGCTGAATCCACATTGAGGGTTAGGTATTTTCAATTTCATTATGTCCACGTTAGTTTCTTCTTATTGGCTGCTGAAATTCTGATATGAAATTGAATTTGAATTTAGGAAGGAATATACGCAAAAAGTCAAAAAAATCAATAATTGTGGTAACATCTAGACAGCGGCTTTTTTGAATGGGAGAAAACAATATTTATAACCAAGAGAATGACCTGAACTTACCATTAATGGGTCGTGCTCTTTCATTGGCCCAGAGGAGCCCAGCAAAAAATTTGAGGTCCCAATTCCTCTCAGGATCAAAAACACAACACATTCATTTAGTGTTCGAGAATCACCTCATGTTCATAACGATTCAAAACTACTACTGAATTATTCCATACCTTTATCTGGAAACAATTTCATCAGATTTGTCATCAGTAGACAGTACGTAAACTGAATTGCTTCAATAAATTTCCAGGAAGATATTATAATAAAATTATTCGAACGTTGCTCAATACTTTTGAATATCATCGGAACGTTATTTTTCAAGTTCAAAGAAATCAACAGATCTGAGTATTTATCTAAGGTAGATATCCTCTATCCTGAACCTTTTGTTTTCGAATTTCACATTCTTTTTTCATTATTTTATCTTTAGTTGTTTCTACCTCTTTGACAATTTTTTGTTTGTTGTTAATAACTGTTTTAAATCTGTTTTAAATCTGTTTTTCCGTAAACCAGCTGTCGCACCCCTACGAACGACAACCCTTAGAAGTCGAAACTTGTGCGAGCTAAGGATTAACGAGGTCTTACCTTTTAACGTGTGATTCCTAACACGGGTTAGACGGTAGCAAGTGAAGATCGATCGTTCAGACTAGGGCTTGAACCACCGACCAACACAGCAGTCAATTCGAGTGAGTGAACAGAGCACACACGCCGAACCGCTTGGCTACCGACCGACCAAAACTACAAGCACATATATTTATTGGTTTCTCAAGTGCAGTTGGCTCGTGTACATTGGTCAATATTGTGGTTTATCTTTCATCAGAACTTATATTTTTCATAGTGGTTTCAGTTTAACCCGCTGCATACTTCCCAACGATTGTTATCGGTAATTGCTGAATCCAGACTATCATAATAGAGAATTGCAGGCAAAAATACAATATAGAACACGAGAAGTCTTCTTATTGAAAAATATACAAGAAACTTTTTGGGACGACTTGCCATATATCAAAAACTGCTAATGTTACAAAACCATAGCAAAAAACAAAACATCAATAAGAGAATGCGTTATTTTAAAAATTTCATCACTTCCTCAAAAATTGACGTATTGTAATCATTGCTGGCTACTCCTAATATTTGATAAATTGATGGATGTAGCCGTTACTACGTAGTAAGAAATCATATTGAAGAAAAAAGAATTGCAACTTTCTACAGATCAATGTACCCTCATGTCAAACAACCAAAAATCGAGAAATGGGTAACTCTAACATATTTTGGAAAAAGAACAGATATAATTGCGGGTTTCTCCCGAAAAAAACTATGTGGAAGTGGCATTCAGGCCACATGCCAGGTTATCTGATTTCCTTTTCAATGCCAAAAATAAGGTGGACAAGTTGGAAAAATCTGGGGTCTATTTGCTTAAGTGTCCGTAGTGTAATAGTGTTTCTGTGGGACATTGTGGTCGACATTTTCAAAAACAGTATGCTGAACATGAAAGGTCCTTCAGACTAGGAAAATATGATTCGACGTTTCCAAACCATTCCTTGGCATGCAAACACAAGTTCCCGAATGTAAACGATACGGAAATTTTGCACTATGCAAGAAAGGGTTACAAACTCAATTATTTAGAATCCTTGGAAACTCACAAGCATAAACATTGCGGGCGCAACCTGTTAAATGATTAAATCGATTTAGTTTACTCACCAGTTTTCAAATTAGCACATCCGCATTGTAAATTGTAAATGCAGGTACTCAATCAAGCCAATTACCTCTATTATTACAGGGGTGCTATATAAGGTATAATGTAATAAACCATTGTTAGTTTAATGTATAAGTTTGAAAATGTCCTTATAGGACGAAACTGCAGTAACGTTAGTTACAAATATAAGTGGTAAAAAACATAGAAAGTTTCAATTCTCTTTTCTTCATTACTTCTAATATTCTTCTCATTCCGACAAACTTCAAGTATAGTTTTTATACAGTGACTCTGTCTCCTCTAACATTGTCGTTTTCCAATAACTCACTTCAGGAGATTCCATCATCTATCTGGTCCATCACATTCAGGAAGTAATAAATTTTCTACGAAGTACGGGGAATATTGGACTCTAACCCCACTCGATGATAACTCTCGAATATATAACTGTAGGTATTTCTTTGTGCCACCATACTGTATATCATGTTCTCCACAGTATACCATGAATCGTCCTTACACAGATTTTTGTCCCATTTCTGTATTTTTTGTTAAGGAACATTTACATAGCACTCCGTTGTAAAAGTACGAAACTGATCAATAGAAAAGCATCCACCTTGCTACAGCTGTATTGGTGTTTTTCCTTCAATATTCATGGTTCAGAACCTGAGCATCTTTATTGATACCGTCAGCCCGGAGTCAGATTGACAAGTTCTTCGTATAGAATATAAATCTTGCACTAGAGTAAGGCAGTCAGCTGAGCTAATTTTTTGGAAAGTATATGACATCGAGGAACGACAACGGATACCATTATCATGAAAGATCGCTTTTGCCGATATCAAACTCCTCCCTTCCATCGCTCATAGACTCTATAATTATGTTGTCAGTATCTTTGTATTGTTTCAGGTATGTCTGCAAACGCTGCACCACTTCGGACTTGGTTTTAATAAAGAAAACTCGGTGAAACTTCGAAACTTCCTCTTTGAAGCATACCTAAAATCTGCTACTATCTGAATAGTTAACTTGCATAGATCCACAAATTTGAGTATATATTACTGCACCTGTTTCACAGGTCGATTTTTCCTGGATATGAATTTTAGTACAAGTTGTTTTCTGAAAGAAACTTGGAGCGAGCCCTGACAGAGACTTATTTCATTATCATCTTCGATTGTGTTTACGCCATGAGGTTTCAAAACTTTTCTGACAGGACTTTCATTCTGATTAGATAATCTTTCAAAATATAGTTTGATATCTTCTGCCGCAGTTATCACAAACACTTCAGCTGAAGTTTCAGTAACGTACATTTTGAAATCTGATGGATATGAACCTCTCGTAATTCTGATGACTAGTTTATCCGTGAACCATCAAGATGAATAAACCTCTGAAGAAGACAGCCACTCGTGCTGGCAAAACGTTAGGATACAGTTCCAAACCACGACGGCCTTCAAACCCGAATGAAGATTGTAACATTGAGAAGGATAAATGGTTGGTGACATCATTTTGATGAATTTTTTCAGTCTGATTTGGAATTTTAAATTTTAATTTTTGTATCCCTTTTATGGTCTAAATGTTATATAGTATGTCTTATAATTATGTTGTTTTATGATTGTGACCTCATTGTTATTGTACTGAGTAATGTGACTTTTTCCATGCCTTCCCTAGGTCTACGGAAATAAAGATATTTTGATTTTGATTTTTTGATTTTGCCTTCAAACCCGAATGAAGATTGTAACAATGAGAAGGATAAATGGTTGGTAACATTGGGAAACAACAAAGTTGATGATGAAGAAATAAAAAAGAAAAACCATTGATAGCTACTTGTGAGAAACTCAGAAAGCTGAAGAGCTACAGCATCATGACAGACATGATCCGTCTCAATAAAATTTTTTCAAAGATAGATAAAATATGTGAGGATGTCTCCTGTTGATCTTTGCTTCAGAAAACTATACTGATAATCGCTCAAGATGTTGGTGTATTTCAAATATTCAGGAATTTATTGAGTGGGAGCTTCCTTCGTGATTTTCGAGTATACTTCGTCTATCGTTGTTGAGCAAAAATTCCTTTTTGTAAGACAAGTAGAAGACATTCAGAAGTTTATTGATATCAAGCTATCGTCATAAAGTAATATCTAGCATCAGAGGTTGTACTGGGGAGGAGAGAGGTTTGCAACAGAAATTCAACTCTAGGTTGAGACGCAATTTGTTTAGTGAGTGAATTTACTGTTTCCATTGCTGCCATTGCTACTGGTACATCCGCTTTCTCACCGAAAAAGTATGTTGATATTAGTATTCAAAAGTGTGACTATGGTGAATATATTGACTTATACAGAATATGAAAAATTCCAGCGCATTATACTCAGACGACACACCTTGGAAAAAGCGTAGTAATACAAAATATGTTTCTGAGAATATTGAAAGAAGGAAAGGTATTGTGGTTACCAATACCAAAGCTAATAATTACGAAAAATTATCACTGTCACATAGCATTTTGTAACGTGAGATTATATTCATAAATACGCATTTTAAGAAGTCAGAAAATCTGATTTTGCAAACGATTAGGCCTCTGTGAATTTATCATAACTTGGTTTGAGGAAATATCATTTCTAACAATATTATTTGGACAGACGAAGCAAAATTCACAAAAAAAAATTACACGATGCGAAAAAAAAAACCATTATCGAAGATAAAGGGTAATCACGGCAAGGTCGAAATAACAAATCAATTTCGAATAGCGATAAAACTCAATGTATAGTGTTCAAAACTCATCAGAAACAATGTGTTAAACGATTTTTATATCAATGTTAACTTGGCATTGTTAGGTGTATATCGAGAAAACTACTTCCACAGGATTGTTACACTCTGAGAGGAATTTTTGGAACCTAGATTAGACTTGTGCAAGCATAGTTCATCACAATTTTTTCCAACTGGGCTCGTTATGGAATATTTTTTGTGGAAAAAACTGAATGTGAGTTTTTGAGATTCATACAGAGGTGTTTTCAAACAGAAGGTTTTTCGACAATACCCGGTGTATATGCTTATGAGTGCATTATGCTTTTCAAAAAAACTAAAAGTATGTCTTCTGATTTGAGAAATTCTTCCAGGCGGAAAGACCTGGTAGCTAGTTATGATATATAAACCAATACAATTTTTTATTGTTTATAGCTCAGCACATTTCAACTTGCGTACCTATATGAGCGGTAAGTACAGCCAGACCCAGAAATAAGATAAATTTTGTACTGTGGCAGTTCCAACAAACACAAAGATGAATTGATAGATGTAGTCGTTACTACGGGGTAGAAGATCATCATGAGAAAAATGAATTAAAATAAAACTCTCTATGTTTTTATGCTACTTGTATTTGTATCCATCGGGACTGCAGTTTCGTCCTTCAAGGACATTTTCAAACGAATACAATAAACAATATTGTATTCAGTTCACTAGTTTAGTGATTCAATAATTTTTCTGAAAAAAGGTTGGTTGTGTAACAGTATATATTTTTTCTTAAAAAAACATTTGATTTCTTGCCGACGTTTCGAATTTGAATAAATTCTTCTTCAGGGCTCAAAAAGT